TTGTAATTATCTTTTAAAAATAAATTAATAAAGGTAAAGTACAAAAAAAGTATTATATGGCATCTTAAAATAAACAAGTAAATTTAAATACCCTAAATTAAAAATTAAATATATTAAAATTTAATTAATATTACATCTGTTACAAAATATCTATCTTTTTTTTATAAAAATATATAGTTATACCGATAAATCTGAAATAGTACGCAAAAAATTTCGATATGCGGTATGTATCATTTTAGTAGCAAAACCAGTACGTATACCAATACGATATTAACTACTTTGGTTGTGATAGAATTTTTCCCATGGTCATTTCCAAAAATCTTGGCCCTCTCCTCAAGTTCAAAATTTTGCACAGTGTGCATGGGCAATTCTGCTTGAGTTGTGCACGTAACTCGTTGAGCTCCCAATGGGGATTGTTGTTCCTATTCTTTAGTTTGTGTTGCATAACCTGTTAAGGTCCTTACGTCATCAAAGTTGTTTTCTTGCACTTCTATTACCCCACACACAAATAAATTGTCGAAAAAATGTCTGAATCTGTTTGGCTTAGTTCCTAAAGAATAGGGTTGGTTGTCTTTTTGATTTAGTTGAGGTGGTTGAAACCCTATAAAAGTTCGCACCATTTTTGCTCAACCAATAACAAAACTACTTTGTTCAATTTTCATAGACGAAGCCAATGTTTGGGTAGCTTCACGAGCTCATGAATTGTTGAGATCTTGAACTGCTTCAGTACTTGAAAAACTCGAGGAAATATCTCGGGGTAAGTACTACGATGCTCAAATTAGCAATATTCAATATTCTAGAGGAAAAAGCTCTCAAGATTGAAATATTGTAGAGAGAAAAGTGTAATGAAGTGTAATGAAGTCATTACTTTGCATGGAGTTGGGAGTATTTACAGCCTCCATCATGACACCAGTCCCACATGCCATTTTCCTATCAGTCCATTTTGTCCCGAATCATCTGGGTGCTTCATGGTTACTTAGCCTGCACACTTGGGCTTCACATGTGTCCTTTGGGCCTAAAGTCAATGTTGAGTTCATTCCCCAATAAATGTATCTATGCTTACTATCCTTCGCTCAGTAGAATCTTTTGATCAATATTGTATCGATGTACCTTTGCTTTCCATTCAGAAGTTGTGTGTGCGACAAGGAACCGAGCCAGGGAATCATCAATGTGTTCTGCATCAGATCTCGATGTCAAATAATGAAGGTTTCAAGGTTTTTCGTTCCCTCTCAAGCTAGGAAATGGTTAAGGCCACATAACAAATTATTAGGGCCACATAATTTTTTTTTCTATAAACAATCAATTATAGCTAATTTAAAGTATTAGCTATTTTGAAAAAATATTTGTAGGAAGTGACGGAAAAACTTTAGTAGGTGTATTTGATGAAGTAATAGTTAAGATAGGTAGTGAAGAGAATATAGAGAAAAGGAACAAGAACAATAACAAGGAATGAATATAATGTAGAGAAAAGGAAGAAAACGAAGAAGGAAACCTATATAGAAGATTTGGCATTAGACAGCAGATTTGATACTATATATATAACAGTGAATGATCATCAATGATTCAATGATATTAACAGAGTAGGGTTATAAGTTCAAGTATGTATATATATACAAGTACATGACATATCCACCTTTAATATTATATACTTAATATATTGTCATTATTTATTAATTAACAATTATAATTATTAATTAATGACCTAAATCGTTTAATACTAATTTCTTTTTAATATAAATAAGATATTTTGATTTTGAATTGCGTGATATAAAGGTAGACTAGATTAAGGGATATAAAAGAGTTACTTTTGATTATACAATTCAAAATAAAAAAATTAACTATAATTATTAAATGTTTTTAACTATCAAACTAAATAAAATTAATATTTTAAAAGGCTAAATTTAAAAGTTTGCGTAATTGAACAAATGTGGCTATAACCATTCGCCTTATGCCGCTATACAAGCAAGTGAAAGATCCTCACGTACCAGCTTATAATGACTAAGGTTAATGGTTAGTGAGGATCATCTCCCATGAATGGAGTAATTGAATTTTATAACATTCATTCTCATTACTCATGTAATAATTGCCCTAAAAAAAAAAAAACTGAAAAATATACACTAAATTAAACCATTTGAAATGATTGTTGCAGCTGGCCCAAAAAACAAAATCAAAAAAATAGAAAACAAAAACGGTTTTATAGCTTATAGAAAAGAAAATCTGAGCATCTGCCTAAGTTAAACGGTTAGAATTTGAAGGATTAACATACATAGAATTGAAAATATCAAAATTTAATAAAATAAGTAAATTATATATCTAAATTTTCATAATCAATATATTATTTAAGAATCTTCAAGAATTTTCAAGAGTCATCGTAATTAGAGATTTTATGACAAAACTTACAAAATAAATATAGCTAGCATTGGGATTTATGTATTTTTCTTCCTAATTAATTTCTATATAGTGACAATCGACGGGTCATGCTACTCTCTAACTCTATTATTTATAAAGGTAAGGTTTTTTAAATAGAAGATGTGACCTAACTCATTATAATAATCTTTTAAACACTCTCATCAAATAATTCACTTTTAATTTTAAATCTTACATTTATTCATATCATATTATATAAAATTTAGATAAAACTTAAATCCACTTAAATCACATAATTTTATTAAATTTTATTGATTTTTTCATTTGATCTAATTTTTTAAAACTAAATACAGTTAGTGATAACCCAGGCAAAAATTTCAAAGCTAAATAAGCATGTTCGCAGTTTTATATCTCAGACATTCCCAAAAAAGGCTGCGACGGATTAAAAGATCAGTGAAAAAGTAGTGAGGTAAAACACTTTTTCCCATAAAATTAAAGAATTAAAAGATTACCAATAGGCCGATGAAGAGAGAGCCAAGCCAAGATGCACGTGGAACACATGAGAGCACAGTTTCCTAACACAGAACGAAAAGAGATTTTGTTGCTTTTTGCAGGCCTTTACCAAGACAGCTAAGGCTCCTTTGTCAAAGACATTGCCAATATTCCCTCTCACGGGCAGTGGAATGTACTTTCTGAAGCCATCTCGTTTTTATAAAAGAATCTGGACTCATGGAGTTAATAAGGGGTAGTACCACACCTAAATTTTGGGGTTTGATGACTATATACCTATAGTTAGATGTACTTTCTTAATTTTACAGTTTCATATTCAAATTTCGTACCTCCAAAATTATAATTCATTTAGAAGAAAAAAAAAAAGTAGTTCCTGGATTTGCCCTTGCCCAGTGAAGTGACTAGATTACTTAATGCAGGGGTATATTATTATAACTAATTTAAAATAAATTTAAATTTAAAAATAATAATTATGTTAAAATAATAATTATTATAAAACAGATAAAATATCGTTAATCTTTAACCAAAAATAATAAAAGGTTATATCATTAATCCTGTTACCGTAATAATTAAACTCGAAACATTCCCTATACGCACCGGGGGTTTACAATAAGAAAAAGTTTTCCAAATCAGCACCAACTTGGTGTCAGGCCACTTGTGGAACCCACCAAAACCAGCTCTCCGTTTATCAAATCAAAACATCATCTTTAAAACTTCATCACGTACCAATTCCCTCCACTTTGTCCAAATTTTCCCTCCACACCGTTCTTCCTTTCTTTTTTTTCTCTTTTTTTTTTTTTTTTTATTAAAATTTTATTGATAAAGCACACGTTTCTTCCTTAACTCCGAGACACTGTCTATTTCTGTGCGTCTTCACTCTCTTCAAGGCGTCACTATTAATTGTGGGTCTTGATGAAGAGGAACCAGAGGTTCGGAATTCGGATCATGTTGTGGGACCCGTGCCGTGCTTTAGCACTATTACTATTTGATGTTTAGGGATATCAATGGGCCGGGTGAGAGACAATTGGGCTTTGATCCACGCCGTTGATCAGGCCAGCAAGGCCGATGTCCCTTAACTTATGTAGAGATGACAATGAGTCCCTACGAAAGCGGAGACTCTCTTCTCATCTCTATTTCCGACAATAGTGGATACAGAGATCTTGATAGGGACTAAAAATAATTTTTATTTTCGTAATCGTGAAGAATAATAGTTCTTCGTGAGTATAAAGACTCTTTATC